TTCTTCTTTTTATTGTTATTTATTTTTTTTCTCACCACTATACTAATGAGAATCTTTTGCTTGATTTAGCATATTGGTGATGCTTTCCACTGTTTTTTATTTGATTTATTGAGTTTTTCATTTCCAACATATCCATCTGGTTTCCTTTTAGGAAATTTCCTTATGGAATCTCACCCATATTGTTGACTTTCTTGTCCAGGTCTTGAATTGACTTCCTTACTTCATTCATCTGTTTGTTTGAATTGTCTTTGAGGTCATTGATTTTTTTTGTGTGTGTGTGCCACTGGAGTTTGAACTCAGGGTTTCCCACTTGCTAGTTAGGTGGTCTATCACTTGAGTCACACTTCAAGCCCCCACCCCATTTTATAAAGTTGTTTTCATGATTTTTTGTCTAATGCTGGCCTTAAACCATGATCTTCCTACCTATGCCTCCTGTATAGGTGGAATCACAGTCATGAACACCACACTTGGCTTGTTTGTCTTGATAGGAATCTCACTAACTTTTTTGGCAAGGATGGTTTTGATACCTGGTCCTTCTGAAACCTGCATCCCAAAAAGCTTGGATTGCAGGCATGAGTCACTGCATTTGGCCTCAGAGGAAAGTAATCTTAAGGATGAACTTTCTAAATTTGTTCTGGGATTTCTGGAGTTGGTCTTTTATGAAACTGGATGTAAAGGTGTCAGTAATGCTATTTCTAGACAAAAAGATAGCCCTAAAAATCCATGTGTGATGTTAACATAGGTATTAGGAAACCTGATTGCTGAGAATGATTGCTGGGATGTTGACTTGAAAAAAAAACACATCTTGGCCCATTAATATTAAGGAATGACTCAAAGCCCTCACAATCTCAGAAAATGAACAGCCCCCATCTAAGTATCTAAGGCCAAAAACTAACATGCCCAACATGTGGGAGGAGTTAAGGATGCATAACCCAGTCTCCAGAAGTTAATGACACATATTCCACTTTCCAGGAATGAACACATACCCACAGACACCAATAAAAGCTTGAGGTCTTGGGAACCTGAGGCACTCACTCATTTCTTGAACCTGCCTGCTTTCTAATCTCGAGGGTATATTTTCATTAATAAACCTGCTCCTGCTAAATCTTCTGTGAGTCCCATTTTCAGTTCTTTATCTGGTGAGACCAGGAGCCTTCTGGTCCTTACTCAGTAATCCAGACCCAATAAAGACGTGGAAACAAAGCATGATGTTGCCTTTGGATAGTCCTAATCAAATACTTACACAGGGCAAGGTCTGGGTTAATTGTACAGATGACACCTTAGAATATCTAAAAACATTTTAATTGGTCACCAGAGACAGATACAACATAAGAGATAATGAGATTGCAAAGTTACTTTTAAATAAGTTGGCTGAAGTGGGAAAAAACCCCCTGATGTGCTCAGGGCTGCATAAATATCTCAAGTTTTTACATCTGCCCTGAAAGAAACCTTTATGACCTGTGGACACAGAGCTGAGGTTTCTGGAAATCAAACCCAGAATCTTATACTACTAATAACTGGATTATGATGCATATTGAATCAGTAACATCACAGGCTATTTGCTGTCTAAGTGAAGGCATGATCAGAAAGGGAATGATCTTGTAAATTGAACTGGAGACATGGGAAGACTCTGATTCTGAGAAGGAGGATGGGGAGGGTCACATAGACGATCTGGCCTGAGTTGGGGCTTTACAGATGGAGATGATTCAGGGGCAGGTTGGGTGTGGCTAGTGACTGACAGGCTGGGGGCTTTTGGTGTCTGAACTGGTGCCTGTGGATCATTCCTGATATATGAAATGTGAATTCCAACAGGCACAGCATGTTTGGTGGTGGGGAATTGGTGAAAGGAAATTTCTTTAATAATCTGTGGAAAGAGTTTCTGTATGGCAGTATCCAGATGGGGCCAGAAAAGCTCAGATTCATCTGAGCTCATATTTCCTCCACAAAGAGCAGCTCAGCTTTGGCCCCTTCTGTATTATGTGGCTGCACTGAGCTGGATCTCCTTCCTACCTCCATCTCCAGCTGGCCAGGTGCAGCCTCAGTGCCCAGCTGTTAAGAACTCTGAAGGGTCTGAGATTTTACAGACTCACAAACAAATAAGGTAACCTGCTGTGGTTTCATAGACACAGACATAGCCACAACATTATGGGTCAAGGGCCTTGTGAAACACAAGAGGCAAAATGAGTTTCGTGTGCATATTCATTCTCTCTCACCCCCAAATCCTGTGGTAATGATCAGAGCATCCAAGAGGATTCTGTACACATGGTGGTTGGTCCCACTGAGGAGAAACCAGAGTAATATTAAGAATCCTTGATCTTATAAAGGAAGGGGGCTGCTACAAAGCCTGCCTAATATTTCTCCAGTGGGAGATACTATCTTTGTTATCCTGAGCATAAACAAACCTTGTCTGAAGGAACATGCTATAATACTGACAGTAAACAAATCTGTTATAAAGTACACATTGTCTTTATGATCCTGGTGAGTAAACAGACCTGTTCAGGAAGACATATCATTTGCAAGACCACTTACTAGCCAAACATTTTTGATAGTCCACAAAAGATGAATTAATTTTTTTGTTCTGAACACATAGGGAACTATGAGAGACTCAAGAAGAATTTCAACCACAAACCATTTAACACGCACCCTCCACCCTTTCCTACAGACAACCTCACACTTTTTCTTTTTCACCTGTCACATCTGTGTCCCCACAGTCTCACTTTGGTTTTAGGACCAGTTCCCAGTGATGGCAGGAAGAATATGGTGATTTGATGCAGATAGGAAGAAAGTACCTATTTTCAATGTTTGTATGTGTGCAGCTTTGACCTTGAGCTTTGATCACAGTGGAGAGACTGTGACCCTTTGAACTTGAAAAAACCCTGTTCGATAGGTGTGCACAGTGCAGTCATATGTATGTGTGTGTGTGTGTGTGTGTGTGTGTGGATTCAAGTCTCTGTGTGTCCACCCTATCCCCACATGGGTGAACCATGTCCCATATGGAAATCTTCCACATCTAGAATCTGACTTGGGGGCTGATCGAGAGATGGAGAATTACTTCCTGTCCTGGCCCCCTGGGTCTCCAGGATGTGTCTCTCACCTTCCAGCTCTGTGTCTGGGAGTTCCCTGAAATCTGACCCAATGTGTCCATATCTGAATGCCGGGTCTCTGGGGTCTGGATCTGCAATTCTGAATCACCACTAAAGGCTTTATGGATGGATCGCAGTATTAGTCTTGACTGTCTTTATCTGTTCTGTGAATTGGTATGATTTGGCCATGTTTCTCTCCACAACATGAAAATCCATATGAATGTCCAATGATACACATGATACGCATGTGCCCTGATTAAAATAACAAATGCTTATGAAGCATTTACTGTATGACAGCATTGTCATGTACGTGTGTACACACACAGGCACACAATTTTCCTAAAACAAACCCCATTTCACAAGTGAGGAAACAGAAGCATACTCTGGCCAAATAAATTCGTCAAAGACTCAAAGGGGCTGTTGCAAGTCAGGTGGACAGACTCTGGTTGTCACCACCACACTGCAGACCTTGGCTGTGAATCAAACTTTGGGGCTTGAGTGTACATTGGTGTCTCCCCTGGGTACCTTCCTTAAGACCCTGACTGTGTGTAAGCTTGTGGGTGGCTAGACCTATAGTGGAGACTGGATTAGGTCTCATTTTATGCCCAAACTGCTCTCCCTCTTTCTTTCTCTCTTTCTCTCTCCTTCCTCCCTCCTGTCTCTTTTTCTTCTCTCTGTTCTCCCTCTCTGAATTTTCTGTTCTTCCCTCCCTCCTTCTTCTTTCCTCTCCTCTCCTCCCCTCCCCCTCTATCCTTCCCTCCTCTCTCTCTCTCTCTCTTTCTCTCTCTCCCCACCACCCAGTGTTTTAGCTGTGCTTATTCACTTACACCACCTATGGCCGCTCATGCCGTGATTATTGAAGTATACTGTGTCCGTGTCAGCTGAGTTCAGCTACAGCATTGTCCATGTCAGAACCTGTGTGCAAGTCTGGTTGTGCATCAATGCCCATGTGTTTGGCTGAGATACACACACCCTGGGATCAAGCCTGTCTTACACATATGGAGTGCTACATCCAGTTAACATTTGTGTTGCATGGATGGCCTTGGTGACTGGCTCTCAGTGACCACCTGTTTGAACCCATCATATCCTGAGTTCTCATCTTCATTTCCAGCCAGAGAGAATATCTTGCTCTCTGGTTCTTTCTCTTCCTCTCTCTATCCAGGCCCTACAGCAAATGAAATGGGTGAGGGAGAGAAGGAGCAATACAGAACCAGAGAAAAGAGAAGGATGGTTAGCAAACACAGCAAGGACTCCTGGAGAAGTTGATGGAGCAGGGCATGGTGAGAGAATACCTCTCAGCAGGAGGGCTCTGTCCTTATTCATACTGACAAGGTCCTGGAGATTTAGGCCTGTGTGCTCCATCCTCATCCCTGGAAAGTGACCTTTTAGAAAGTGGAGGCTTTAACTACACCACTTTGTGCCTCTCCCACACTGGATGCATCTTCTCTCAAGTTGGTATCATGGCTCTGAGTGGTGCAGGGGATTAGAGCCTACACTACTGGTATTTGAGCAGACCCCAGATCTTGGGGTTTGGGGCCTTACTTGGAGCTTTGTAATGGCGGTTGGTTAATCCTCCACCCTCCTGTTTTCAGACTGCTCCAATCTACCACCTTGCTTCGAGGGCTGTATCACACAGAACAAGGCCACAGGAGCTGCAGGCCCCACCTCACCTGACCTGAGCCCTGGGCATGCAGCCCGAATGACCCAGGACCTGAAGGACAACAGGTCCTTCTCCAGCTTGGGGTGGGAGGGGACATCCCTACTTTTGTTGGCAGGGATGGGACCCTGGCCAATATCTGGTGTCAGCATGGCAAGGGCGGGGCTCTGGGGGCATGAGGACTTTTAAAGGCTCCCAAAGGAGATTCCCCAGCTACTAGCTCACCTCCTGCCTGCCCACCCCTGGACATCTCTAACATAATGTGGTTCCTCATTCTGTGCTTTGCCCTGTCCCTGGGGGGGACTGGTAAGATAGTGGGAGGATGCGGGAGGGGTGGGGGCCCTGATTGTCATGCTTCCTTCACTCCTGTAAGTCCTTCCCCTCCCAGCCAGCATGCCAGCCTCGTCCCTCCAGTCTTCAGCCCACCCTAGACCAAGAACCAGGCCCTTTCTCTTGTCTTGGAGCCCCTTACTGTCATAGCCTCCTTTGACATCAGTTCCCCACTCTTGCCCACCTGTCTCAGAACTTTCTCCTCTTCTCTAGCCAGTACCAAAAGGGAAGGTCCTGGGCCATCTCTGTCTCTCTTTGGGCGTCTCCACCTCTTCCAAGAAATCCCCCCACCCTGGGACCCTGATCATCCCTTCTAACTCTCTATTTTTATGTGACTCAATGGCCTTAGTCCTCCATACCCAGTGACTTTACCCACCCAGCTGTCAGATGTGTCCTGCAGACACAGGCATTGGTCTCCCTTTCTTCCCATGTCCCCCAAACTCCACCAGCCTACCTTGGCAGGGGTTTGTTTGTTAAACAAATTGTCAGGAGACAACACATGGGTCCCTCATCCTGATATGGGGATATGCAAATGTCCCTTTGCTCTGCCCCCACCCCATACAGTAGCCCAGTCTTTCCTCCCAGAAAAAAGTACCCCAACCCTCTACCCTTACAGAATTTCCATCTGCCACAAGCCTCATCCCCTCTCCATCTGAGCCCCTCCCCTCAGCTGTGGTTTTCTGGGACTCCGCCCAGTATCCTGAATGCCTTCCCAGGCCACCATGCCTGGTCTACCAAGGACCCAATGTGTGATTCACAACCCCACATCACTTGGTCTCCACGATGGCTTGGTCTGTTTTAACCCCTTTTCTTTGCCTTTATGAGACTTCCCCCAATGACCCCAAACCTCTCCAGTCCCCTCAGACCATGACCCCATCCCCACTAGCAGCAGAGCCTGCCCCTCACCCTAGCCCAGAGTCTCTGTCACTCACCCCTCACCTGAGCCTTATCCTAATGCCGATCACAGCTCTGTTCTCAGGGCCCCTCCGCCATGGATGCCATTCCTGCAACATGAGAAGCCCCCCAAAAGCTATCAGAAGCCCACTGCGAGCCTTAACCTTCCCAGTCCAGAGGACCCCTTCCAGTCCTATCCAGCGACCCTAAAATCCCCTTCCTGGAGCCCTCTTTCACTCAGACCTAGTTCTCTAACACCTCATCCTCTCCTGAATCCCAAAAACACAACCCAGGCCCTAACCTTTCCCTGGCCTAGGAGACCTGAGACTCCAAATTGGACTTTTCCCAGCCTGGATCCTCTCTCATGGACCCTTCTCCCTGGTTTCTGGAATCCTTAAGTCTCTAAACAACCCACCTCCCATCCCTCAGCCTGAGACCCTCATGACTGACCTGTTGAGTCGACATCTGCTCCAGATGCTGCCTGGGTGACTCCTGGAGTCAACTCTGTCCCCCAGAGCATACATCTCCCGAACCCAGGAGCAGCCACAATCTGCAAGCCCATGGGAGGCTCTTGAATTTGAGCCCCTTCCACAAATCCCTTGACCATGTGCCCAGACCCCAGTCCTGGCCTGGTGCCTCTCTGTCTGTTCCACTCCTCTCAGAGCCCAGTTCCCCCCTGGCCCTTCTGCAGGTGCTGAATATTCCACCCAGTCTCGGGTCGTCGGAGGTGAGGAGTGTCCGAGGAACTCCCAACCCTGGGCAGCAGCTCTGTACTACTTCAACGATATCAAGTGTGGGGGCATCCTGGTGCATCCTCAGTGGGTGCTTACAGCTGCCCACTGCATACATCAGTGAGTAGGGGCAAAGGGCTGGAAGAGGGCACACTGCTCCCCAAGAGTGAGCCCACCAGCACCATTCCAGATTGACCTCAGGCCCAGATCAGGGAAGAGGATGATGGAGCTTCTGCAGGGTTGAAAGAAGGGAAGAGCTGAGGCAGGACCATGCTGGCCACATGGACTTTCTCCTGCTACTGTCTCTGTGTCTGCCTCTTGTGTCTTTTCATGATGTGTTTTTGTCTCTGTCTTCCTTTTTTTCTCTGTATCCATATATCTTGGTCTGCCCCCATGTCTGTTCTTGTCCTGGTGTCTTTGTGGCCTTCTGTCACAGCTACATGTCTCCCCCTTCATGTATGTCTTTGCTTATCTCTCTCTCTCTGGGTCTCTGCCTCATACCTCTCCTCCCTCCCTACTGACCACACTTCCAGGATGGAAGTGTGTGTATGGGGAACCACAGAAAAAAGGAAGGACTATCCCCAAACTGTGTGTGTGTGTGTGTGTGTGTGTGTGTGTGTGTGAAGGGTGCTTCTCCCTCTGCATGGCCCCTCCCTGCAGGTCCTTCTGTCCACTCTGGGAAGACACAGCCTTCCTCCTGAAGGCTGGGCTGAGCTGGAGCTGGGACAGAGCAACTGAGGGAGGAGGAAAGAGAAGAGGAAAAAGGGAGAGGAAGGCAGGGTGCTGGGGAGGGAGGAGCCACGATTTTGTTCTTCTGGCCAGGCCCTCCTGCTGGGGAGCCCTCAGCCCAGCTCCACTGCAGCTGAGCAGCTCTCAGGTCCTCCCCTCTCCTTCCCCCTGTACCCTTCCACCATCTCTATTTTCTCTCTCTGTCCCTGGCTTCCTCCCTGCTCAATGTCTTTCTCTCTCTTTGCTTCCTGTGTCCCCTTCACACTTTCGCTCTTTCCTACCTCCTCCCTTGGTCTTTTCTCCCCTCTACTCCCTTTGTGTCTTTCTCACTGTCTCTGTCTTTTCTCCTTCTTGTCCTGTCTCCTTTCTGCTCTGTCTGCTCCCACTCTGCTCCCTCTCCCTCTCACCCGCCATCCCTATAGCTCTTTCTTTCTACTCAGGTTTTCTGTGTCTGCCTTTCATGTTCTGTCTTTCTCCTCTCTCCTCTCATCTCCTCTCCTCTCCCCTCTCTTATTCCCCTCCCCTCCCCTCCTTCCCCTCCTCTTATCTGTCTCTCTGTCTCTGGCCTCTCATCTCCCTTCTCCCACCTCTTCCTCACTCACTATTTCTCTGTCTCTCTTGGGGACCATCTCCTGTGTTCCCTGCCCCAGTTTCCTGGCAATCCTCCCTCCTCATTCTCTCCATCCTTTCTGTCCCAGAATCCATCAGATCTGGCTAGGTCACCACAACCCCTTTGAGGATGAACCAACAAGCCAGTTCTTCCAGGTCAGAGACAGTTTCCCACACCCAGGCTTCAACATGAGCCTCCTGAATAACAACACCCGCCACCCAAGAGAGGACTACACCCATGACCTGATGCTGCTCCATCTGAAGCATCCCGCTCAGATCACGGATGCTGTGAAGCCTGTGATACTTCCCACCGAGGAACTAGCAGAGGGGAACACCTGCATTTCCTCCAACTGGGGCAGTATTGAACCAGAAAAATGTATGTTTATGCCAGACCCGGGAGCCTGGAGCCTGCACACCAGGATCTGAGGGAGGAGGGGTGAAGACCCTGATGGAGTTGCCCACAGCCCTTTTTCTCCCTGGCTGGTAGTGGTGTTCCCAGACACTCTGCATTGTGTGGATCTGACTGTCACATCTAATGAAGAATGTGACAAATCCTACCCCTGGAAGGTGTCAGAGAAAATGCTGTGTGCTGGGAACTTGGAGGAGGACAGCAAAGATGCCTGTTTTGTGAGCAAAGCTTCCCTGGCCCCGGGTGTTGGAGGGCTGCGGGAGGGGACTGGGATTGTGAACTGGGGTCTGAGAGTTAATTGTACCAGGGATCTGCTCCATGCCTGCCCCGCAGTAGCCCCGCCCCCAGTGCCTCAGTTGCTTCCCCTTTCTGGCACCTTGCAGGCCCCTACTGAGTCTCTCTGCACCCCCCCTCCCTGCATTGCCTGTGTTCTGTCTAGTCCAGGAAGGCTTCCTGGAGAAAGTCTGGGAGAGGGTCCTTGAGGGGACAGTAGGTCCCATAGCTGCTCCTGCTCCTACTGAGCTCACTGTAAAGGAGCTGGACTTGACCTCCCTTTCCCAGGGGCCATTAATCTGGCCTTTGTCTTCCTTCCTCTGAGAGTGGGCTCTGGAGACCTCAGGTCTGATAGCTGGGCTTGTAGACAGAACCTGGCCTGGCTTGCAGACCTTACTCACTCTCTCTCTCTCTCTCCATCTGCTGTTCCCAGGGTGACTCAGGGGGCCCACTGGTCTGCGATGGGATGCTTCAAGGTATTATGTCATGGAGCCACTTCCCATGTGGTCAGCCCCACAAGCCTGCTGTCTTCACCAGAGTTGTTAAGTATTTGCAGTGGACAAATGACACTATGCAGGCCCACCCTTGAGTCCCCTGCTGTCCCCTACTCCCAGTAAAACAGAATATGCATCCAATGAGTGTCACATTCTGCCTTTATCTGACCCTTCAGACTTAGTGCCTACTTGTTCAGGACCCTCCCGCTGAGGTCAGAACTTCCTTGGTCCCAGCTTGCCAGGTGTGACATGAAGGTGGGCAAAGGGAAGGGGTTATAACATTCAAACAGGCAGGAAAGGCTCAGGGATCCCAGACAGGTTAGCTCTTTCTGGAAGACCCTGACCTGGTCCAGGTGAACCCAGGGCCAGATGTTCCCTTTGGAGTTTGGGCAGCACTAAGTGACTGGATAGCGCCCATGCTTTATTGTGGAGGGAAATCAGGAAGAGGGAGGGAGCTTGTTAGTGCCAGCCACGCTTTCCTGAGGAGGTACCTGCACCGAAAGAGGTCCTGGCTTCAGCAAATGCTGGGTGCAGCGTTTGGCCCTGGGGACAGGAGTGGCTATGTAGGGTGGGGCCGGACATCCCTCCAGGAGAGGAGCTTGGATGTGTACAGCCCAGGCCAAGAGGATGGAGGGGGTTTGAGGCGAGGCCTGTGAGGGTGGCACGGGGGCGGGGCGTAGCCGGGCCAGGGATGGAGCCACACAAGCCAGCTGCACTCAGGACTCAGTAGAACAGGCTGCCATGGCTCACATGGGTCAAGGACGAGTGTCTGCTGCAAGGGGCAGAACCGGAGGGGAGCATCGGACTTCTGGCATGGGGGGCCCTGTGATGATCCAGGTGACAAGGACAGGACCCGGGTGGGCCACCTGTCTTCAGGTGCTGCCCATTTTCAGGGACGAGAGCCTCAAGTGAGGTGGAGTCTCGGAACATAGCCACCCTGAAGGAGAGGACCCAGCGTCGGGCCTCAGTTACTGGTTGGTGTCCTGAGAAGCTCTGGCGTTATTCCCTGGAGGGCTTTGAAGGTCACTCTGGGTGGAGAATGAACTGGACACATCAAGGGTCCGAAAGCCCGACACCTGCTGTTGGGACAAGCGCTTCAGGGTGCACTGCTGCCGCAGCCAGCGGCGAAAGCTCAGCCGCTGCTCCATGAAGCGCAAGCCTCGACTCCACAAGCCCACCTGGTTGAAGTAGGACAGGGCTCCTGGGGGAGGGGCCGGGGTGGGCGCTGCACTCCAGTGTCTCCCCAGGCCCCGCCCCATCCCTCCAGTCCAGCCCCGCCTTTCTCCCCGGGCTCCGCCCCCAGCTCGGCTAAGACCCGCCCACCCACCCTAGGCTCCGCCCATGCCCGGCAAGGCCCTGCCCTTTCTCTCAGGCCTGGCCCTCACCTGCCCACAGCATCAAGCAGCTGGCGCACAAGCAGAGGTAGAAGGTCACCAGGTAGGACACCTGTGGCTTCGGGTGCAGGCTCTGGCAGTTGACTGCAAAGAGTGCCAGGCTGAGGAGAAGCAGGAGCCCTGCAAAGGGATGGGGCCAGAGACAGACAGGAGGCTGGACAGTGACTCTGTGACCCCCGGTAAGAGAAGAGGGACAGACTTCCTCTCCCACCCTCCATGACCAGCAGACACACACACACACACACACACACACACACACACACACGCACACACGCATGCACGCACGACACATTGACAGACACCTAGAGAGCAGGGAAGGAACAAAGAAACAGACCCTGGGAGAGAGAATGGACCCACATGTGGTCTGAACCAAAGGGAAGTCAATAAGGGAGAGGGGCAGAGAGCCCGCGCCTCAGACCACCGAGCAGCACAGGAGCTCAGCCCACCTCCTCGCAGACAGGTCAGGGTGAGCAGAGCACCCCTCTGAGCCCAGCTTACCAACGCTGATGCTCAGGAAACTGCAACAAAGTCGATCTTGCTCAGGCGCCTGAAGATTGAGCGGAAAGAGAGGACCATGGCGGGGGCAGCACAAGCACGGGCGGCGAGCATCATGAAGCCCTTGCTCATGTGAATGAGAACTGGGGAGGGACAGATGCCCAAGGTCATCCCACACTCTCGGCCAAGTCCCAGCCTCCACTGGCACATGAGCCGCTGAAACACACCACATGTCCTGACAGAAACACCCTCCAAATCACCCCACATCACCCAAGTCACCTCCTAGAACTCAAAGTCCTGTCCTCAGAAGCACCCTGGCATCCTCAGAGACCCCTCCTGAGGCCTCCAATGAGCTCCTAGAGACCTCCATCCCAGCACTCAGAGACCATCTGGAGACCCTGGCTTGTGCAGGCATCACTGACCGGTGACTTGGCCCACACTGGCACACTTTGCTTCTACAGTTGGTCCAGAATCCCGGTAGCCAGTGTAGGGGCCTTGCAGGTGGGCATTCGCCATCGCCACGCTGAACACCAGCAGGATTGCCAGGGTGATGAGACAAGAGACCAGCCCGCAGGATGAACTCGCGTCCTCCTCCAGAGAAACAGGGTCTGATGGGTCCAGTGCATCTCCTAAGTTTGCTGGGAGAGAATGGTTTCTGGTGTGATCTTTCTTCTAGCTTTGCTGCATCCCAGTCTCCACCCACCCATATTCACATCCCCAACCCACCAAAACCTGCCTTTTACTTATTCTGATCCCTGCTGAATTCCAACCATCTGCCCACCAAACTTGCCTTGTCTACCCCAACTTCACTCTACCACACCACTGCATCTTTTTCTTCTCCTAGCCCCGCATAGCTGTGTTAAATGCTCCGGGGGCAAGGTCCTTCATCGCACAACAGACTCGTGATTAATGATTTCAGTATTTTCTCTCCCAGTCTTCTCGAGTTTCATGATCCTATCAGTTTGGTTTTTGTTATAGCCACAGCCTGGCACAGGACCTCTGACATTTGTTAGGTAGACTGAGCCATGAGTGAAAGCATGAATAAAGCAATGACTTGCCCATCATGGTGGCCCGCAAAAATACTCATTTCTCCTCCCTGTGGTGCATCTCAATGTGGATTTCAAGGAAGGAAGAATATGAGCTCGGCCTCAGGAACAAGGTCCACACCCCATAACAGAAAGAAAATTTTGGAGTTAAAATCAGGGACTGAAGTGTACATAGAATTCAACTGACCTTTTTTACCATGGGTTCTTAGTGCTTGAATGTGTTGTCTGCCCATTTTGTCCTCACAACAACCCTGTGAAGTATTATTGTCTCCAGGGACACCTGAGGAGACAGAACTTCAGAGCTGTTGGATGACGTGCTCAAGCCAGTAGGGACAAAGCCATGTTTCCAATCTGGGCAGCACAGTCTCAGATCATCGCTGCTAACTGCACTGCCTTCCATATCCCTACTACAGAGCTCTCTTCCCAACCATACAGAAGAGATCAGCACTGAACAGGGAGACAGGGAAAGGGGAAGAACAACTTGTTCAAAAAGACAGAGATGCAAAGTCCTTCGTCACTTGAAAAGATGGCTGATCTAATCACTGCCACTTTTTTTTAAACTATTTTTAAAAACATGGAGAAGTTTGTGGGAGCTGGGCACAATGGCTTACGACTGTAATCCCAGCTACTGAGGAGGCCGAGATTGAGATCACAGTTTGAGGGCAGTCCAGGCAAAAAGTTAGTGAGACCCCCAACTCAACCAATAAACTGAGCATGGTGGTACACATCTGTACTAGAAGCTGCTCAGGAGGCCTAGGTAGGAGGATCAAGGTCCAAGGCTAGCCCCAGAAAAGAAAGAGACCTCATCTGAAAAAATACATAAGCATAAAGGGGCAAGAGCCTGGCTCAAGTGGTAGAGTTCTTCCTCACAAGAGGGAGTCCCTGAGTTCAAACCCCATTACAAAAAAGGAGGGAAATGAGGAAGGAAGGGAGAAAGGATGGAAGGAAAGAAAGAAGGAAGGAAGGACTTAAGAAACGAAGGAAGAAAGTAAGGAAAGAAGGAAGTAAAAGTTTGTAAAGCTTTATTTTGCCTCAAAAGCTCATCAGAAAACCACAGAAAAGTATGAAAACAGAATCTAAGAGTCCCACCCTCCAGCAGGAGAGGCCACACACACACACACACACACCTTGGGGTGCCCACACACCTCCTGAGCTCTCACCCACCTTATAAGACTGAGGCTGGATCTGCCTCTTCTCCACAACCCCAAAACTGCAGGTCTTTGGGAACAGAGAGGATACGCAACTTCTCTGAGTCCCCAGGGGAGATGAAGGGGAACAGAAACAGAGAAGGAAGGAAGGAAGGGGGTGAGGAGACACAAAGAACTGGAGAAGTAGTCAAAGAAGGAAATGCAATCAGAAGAGGCCTGAGGACCGGTGGGGAAGAGGCAGGAGGGAAGAGGGAATTATAAGTTCAGATCTCAGGCCCTCCAGGAACCGGGAGAATTCAACTCAGACATACTGTTTTCTCAGTGCTCACTTTTGCTGCCCATCCTTGGCGAAGCCTGTGTGATGTTTGGCTGGACCCTAGTATCAGACAATGTTTTGGGACCAGAGGAAGCCCCAGGTCTCAAGGTGCATGAAAGGATGGTCCTGAATGTGAGTCCTCAAGGAGATGTATCCTCCAGGGCTCCTGGGTAGAGGGGACAAGGGACAAAAAGTAAGGATATACTAGAAGTCACCAGTCCTCCCCAGTGAATTTCCCAGACACTGCATTGTGCTAACATCAGCATTATCTCTGATGCATCCTGTGACAAGCACTACCCAGGACGCATAGGGAACACTGGAGTGTGCAGAAGCTCAGGGCGGACTAGGAGGTCAGGGCTGAGGGGCCATCCAGCAGGTGGAGGAGAGGGGACCAGGACAGGTTTGGGAGTTGGGGTTGATTTGGATTTTGTTACCTTGGGGCAAGATAGGGAGGATGCTGGGGTTCAGTGTGGAGATAAAACAGCAAGAACAATCAGAATGGTGGTGAGGTTGGAGCTGGGATCTGGAGTGGCAGTTGGTTTGGGACAGCATGGATTGTCTAAGATTGGGGAGGAGTTTGGTTGATGACTTTGGAAGTGATGTGGAATGGGGTGGGCATACAGCTTAGAATTGGGTTGCATTGAACAAGCAGTTGGCATGGATTTGGTTGGAATTTCAATGGGGAAGAAGGTTGGA